ACTGGCAAGTTAAAGCACCTTGGAAGTTTCCATTCACCCCACCCGTCCAGAGACCGGGATCACTGCCACTCCACATTGAGCTGTGTGGGACGATATTTACCTTATACCTCAGGCCAAAATCCTCCCTTCCTCCTGCTCTGTTCTCTTTCGTCTTATAACAGTCTGTCTGATTGGAGTTTCCCTCTCTTCAAGGGCAAGACCAGCCTTGGCTCCTCCCTAAAGATAAGCAAGACAGATGTTTCTTTATGATGCTTTGATTCTGGAGTCTCTACGAGTTCCTAATCCTGGTCTTGGAGTATCTAAAGGATTATGTGAAAAATATCACACTTTATGTGCACGTCCTGTCGACTAAAAAAAAAAAAACATATGCACATGCTGTTTGTGAAATCCGGCTCCTGGAAGGCCGCTGTCCTGCAAAATTTAGCTGTCACCCTTATAAAGCATGCCTGAAGCAGTTTACTCTGCATACTAGAAACTTCTAGACAGGTTTGTTTAGGTAAGTCGGACCTGAACTCTGCAGGACAATGGCCCCTCATGACCGGTCCCATTCATCATTTTGGCTTTAAAGGGATGCTTTGTGGCTGGAAACTGCCCCAGTGTACAATTCTGCTTAGTCAGCACTAGATCCAGCTTTACAGCAGACTTAGAGCCCACTCTTAAACTGGTATCTTATCATTAGTGTATCGGCTCAAAGAAGGACCATAAACTTTTATAGTGCCATTTGTGACAGGACCAATCTCTGTACATTTGTTTGTCTACCTAAACAAATCTGATTTATCTCATTTAATAATTAGTAGAAGTTTAAAGTTTACATTTGATTTTTATCGTCTTAATTAAAAGTCTGTAACTTACTTGGATTACATTTCCTATTGGTACTGTGCGTGCATAATCATTGTGTAGAATTTTTTTGACTCTGAAGCCAGCCATTAAAACTATTCAAAGAAACATCTACATATATAGCAAATGCTCTTAATGCAAGTAAACTGAAGATGGTGTTAGATAACAAACCAAACAAACCAAACAAAACAAACAATTTTATATAAACATTACTTATGTCTTTTGGGAAAATGTTACGTACATCTACATACTTTAAATGCGTTTTTGATGCTAGTGCAGATTTGTATTGTCAAAGTTTGTAAAGCTGTCTGGCACAACAAAATGTTTTGCACAGAGTTTTTGCACACTTTTTCTGGACATTCTCAGTTATATGAAGTGAATCCATTTCACTATTGTCTCTTCTGAAGTCCGGATTATATGTAAAGGCACCTGTGAGCCTCTAAAATTACATATGAACACAGAGCATGCTGGATTGATTCATTGGTCTAATGCAGAACAATTAAAGGCACTATCGTTATCCGCTTTGCTACCTGTTAACAAAAAGGGTCCATACAGTATATTGTTTAACATTGCCAAAACTTTCTTCAGTTAAACAAAGAGAAAACTGAAGTCATTGCATTTGAGTACAGATTTGAGGTTTTCAAGGTGAATGACCTTGGCTCTAAAGGTCAAACAAAAAAGTAAGGTCAAGAATCTTGATGTTATTCTGGAGTCAGATCTGAGTTTCAGTAATCATGTCGAAGCAGTAAGTAAATCAGCATACTATCATCTCAAAACATTGCAAGAATCAGATGCTTTGTTTCCAGTAAGAAACAAGTTCATGCTTTTATCATCAGCAGAGTGGATTACTGTAATGGACTCCTTGCTGGCCTTCCCAAAAAACAATCAGACACTTGTAGATCAACCAAAACACTGCTGCCAGGATTCTGACCAGAACCAGGAAATCAGAGCACATCACAATTGTCCTCAGGTCTTTACTGGCTCCCAGTTTCAGAGTATACTTTAAAGTACTATTACTTGTCTATAAATCACTAAATGGCCTAGGACCTTAACACATTACAGATATGCTCACTGAATACAAACCTAACAGATCACTCAGATCTTTAGGACCATATAAACTGGAAATTCCCAAGGTTCAGTCAAAACAGGGTGAATCGGCTTTCAGCAACTACGCCCCAAGCGGCTGGAATCAGCTTCCAGGAATGATCAGATGTGCTCCAACATTAGGCACATTCAAATCAAGACTGAATACACATGTTTACTGTGCCTTTACTGAGCACTGTGCTACATCCGACAGATCGCACTATTATGTCTTTCTTTTCTTTTTCATTCTGTTATAACCTGTTTTAACACATTTAAGTCAGTTTTTATCTGTTTTAATTATTTTTACTATTTGTTTTTAAGGGAACTCAAACCATTTGAGGCAAATATTTGCCTTAAACCATTTAAAGTTTGCATGAATCGGAAGTCACTGAAACTTTTTTTTAGTGAATTGATGTACTTCCAACAAAAGCAAAATATTGAGTAGGGGGCAGGGCTTTCTCCTGTGCATCATTCATTTGAAGCCAAATCAAAGGGGAATGTTTAAATAATACTGTGGCTGACACTAACAGGGGACCTCCAATCTAAACGTGAAGCAAATGCTCTAACTTTGATTAAAGAATACTAAAACAAAATCAATCATTTTCACTGGATTAATTTGCACTGATTATTTGTTCTCCTTAATAATACCAATGTGTTCATTTAATTTCACATGTTAACAAAGGTTCGGCAGCACAACCACATCTCACTTTGTCTCCCTAACAAATCACCTACTCCTTAAAAATGATTTAAGCCCTCTAGCACTGTTCTTCTTCTTCTATCGAACATCCCTCCCTCTATTTCATTGCTTTCCATTAACAATCCTATAAACCTCTCTTCTCCTAGGTTAAACCAGGGTGTCCCACTCTGAGTTTCTGTGCATCATTGCAGAACGCCCAAACGACCTACCTATCTGTTCACTTTTTATACTCTGACTTCCCTTCCCCTTCATCCCACTGTTCTCTTTCATCCCTACATCCCTACAAAAGAGTCTAGTTCAAAGTGTGGCGTGGTCCATGCTGGTAAAATGGACCTCAAACTTACAAATTAATATTAATGAGTACTGTGAACTTACCCAGCAGGAACACAATGTCATTAGACATTAATATTAGGTTTGAATTAGATTGTGATGTCAGGTTACCAAAATTCAATGTCTAGCTAACTCCAGGGACAAAGTTATTTTGAGGTTGAATAACAATGGCAAATGATTTTAGGTTGTGTCAGAAAGTGACCAAAATCCAATTTTGAGCCAACATCTTAAACCAATGTCATATTGACGTCAAATACTGACATTTATTTGTCAGTTAATGTTCGCACAAGGTCAAGCTGTAATATCATTAGACGTTGATATTTGGTTGATTTTAGGTTGGATATTGGCGTCAACCTGACGTTGGGTTCTGATGTCAAACAGATTTAATTTCCAAACAAAATGCTATGACGTTAAGGTACAATGTCAGTCTGATGTCATGTTGGCGTCCTGTGCCTGCTGGGTACTGATATTGAACAAACAGGTTATCGTTAGTTGCTTTAAATTACACATTGGCCAGACAGACTGTTGGGAGTTTTTTGGGCAACAAAAGCTGTGATGGAATCCAGAACTTATGTCACTAGACTTATTTTGCTAGAATGGCCAAATATGAACCATATTTAGATTTATGCATTAAGCAGGCCCTTGATTACAAGTTTATCAGCTCAAAGTGAATAAACAGAACACACAGTCAGTTGCATTAACGTTTTATGGAATTTAAATATAACCTGGTTTGCCTAAATAAATTCAACAGCCCTAAAACATTATGGTTACTTAAAAGCAACTGTTGTGTGAGCAACAATAGTTCGTACAAATTATGGTCAAACAAGTCATGTGTGTTGTGACACTAATAAAGTGGCGTGGAACGGCAATGTTTTCATTTTGTTGAGATGAAACTAGTCCTAGAATATACACTTACAAAGGGAAATGGTTCAAACAAGCACAGCACGTCAGCAAAAGCGGCACACACAAAGCATGAAGCTTATAAAATACCCACTTTAGACACTTTGTGTATTCACAGTGTAAATGAGAATTCTGGGAAGTGTGAATCATCCAGATATATCTTCGATTTGGCCAGAACACGTTGATATGACGACATTTGTAATATTTAAAAGATGGAACCACACCCGGCCGCAAGTGATAACCTGAGGACTGCAAAGGAAAATCTTATCGTATGTTTAGGAAAGTACAGTAATATGAAATTTAGCTGCTTACTGAAACATAGGCATATGCACCTAATGTGTTTATGTAATGGGCAAGAAGAGCAAGATGTCAAGTTCAAAACAGATATGAGTGATTTACCTGATAAGTTGCTGAATTCAAGATTTATGTTATTTTATTATTATTATTATTTTATTCTTTGCTTCATCCCAGTTCTGTCACGAAGTCTCTACAGCACTCTCGTCACAGTCTTTGTGTTAGCATCAGCATGGCAATACTGCCACCCCATGGTAACTGGCGTTCTACACAACTTGGATCAATGGCACAAGCCACTGACTTCTTACCCTCCGGTTGTTCCAGTCCTGTGTACATTTATTTGTTCTACTAAACTGGAAGGTACTTGGAGGTAGTAATGAAACAGAAACAAAACACAATACAAATACATTTGATTTAAATTAAAAATAAATTATTCAAATAAGTAACATTGCATCCTATAGTACAGTACCAAGGTACAGAAACATACAGTAGATATACGTATGCTTTCTATAGACTTTGTATTGATGTTTCCCAATACTGGGATGGCTGGAAGCGAATCCACCCCGTAAAACATATGCTGGAATAGTTGGCAGTTCCTTCCATTGTAGATCTATCTATCTATCTGTCTATCTATCTATCTATCTATCTATCTATCTATCTATCTATCTATCTATCTATCTATCTATCTATCTATCTATCTATCTATCTATCTATCTATCTATCTATCTATCTATCTATCTATCTATCTATCTATCTATCTATCTATCTATCTATCTATTTATCTATCCATCTATCCATCCATCCATCCATCCATCCATACATGTAATTACTGTAAACCAGATGAGAAATAGATGAGAAATATGATTTATTGTATTTAATTTTTCAGTGAAGACAAACTGTTGTATATAGCATATGATTTGACCAGTGTAAAACAGACAAATGTTTTATCCTAATTACATATATTTACTGTATATATGGTTAATGCTAGGAAATCAGTGTACTCTGATTTTTCTGTAATTATGATTAGCACAAAACACATTTAGGCCATGAAGGACAGCATATAATTGAACCCATGTAAGTTGGTTTAATGAACATTGCACTAAAAAGATACATTGTGCGTGTGTGTGTTTTCAAAACTACCTCACATCTTATTATGGCCTAAAATAGCTTTTTGTGCAACCGTCATCAATCTGTTTTAGTATAAGCAAAGCTGAATGAGTCTCGGTAGCTCTCTTAAGACACAAGAAGTCTCTTTTTAAAATAAATGAAAGCCAAATAAGTGGCGCCCCCGATCAACCCAACCAATAGTGTGGCACCAACAAATGCTGGAGCCTTCTTCTTTGCCACCCTGAATGCAGTGGGCAGCACAGCGGATATGAGGATGTTATTGACATGTCCAAGCACTCTGCGAAATGTGGGCCGATCCAGGACACGTTCGTAATAGGTCTCCAGGTTGACTCTCATCCCATTTCCCCAGTAGCGTCGGGACAGGCCTAGGAACTTGAGGCGGTGAAGGGTGACAGCGAGGGAGACATCAGCAATACTGAAGAAATCTCCACAGAGCCAAGCCTGCTGACTGCCCTCTTCTAGACAGAGAAATTATAAAGTTCAGAAGCCAGATTGTCAACATTTGGTGAAAGACATGAAGTCGAAAATTGACCTTGATTCTCTAATATGAGGATTAATTGATGAAGTGCTGTTGAATTATTAGAAAATATACATGCCCGTTGTCAAAAATTCACCTTACCACACCTAAAGACAATATTAAGATGTTGTATTTCAAGATATTTGTCAGGTCTTAAATTGCTCCTGTGTGTAATACTAGTTTTTTTCACAGCAAAAAAAAATTCTTATATATTTTTAAGCAAAAAATAGTGTCTTATTTTAAGAAATAATATGCCAAAATTAAGTTTTTTTCTTAAAACGAAATAATATTTCTTACTTATTGCACTTTTCACTTCACTTCCATTCATATGCATGTGAATCCACCAGGCCGTAAAAGCAAGCTTGTGCAAAAAGTTTTGTATGTCACTGCATTCCAAAGATCAAGCTTGATGAACTCTGACTTTTGAACTTGTATGACTTGAATGCACTAGACCCAGGGGTGGACTTAATGCCAAGCAGTCTATATTAATCATATAGCTCTTTTAGAAATGTTCTATCATATGTTATTTCAAGCAAATCTGTCTATAACCATTAAGATTTGAACGTTATAATGTATTTTTAAAACCAGTGGCCCCTAATGAATAGTGGAACATTCCTTCTGTACTGCACATGCAGATATTAAAATCTAATCACAACTATAGATAAATAACTGTACATTTGTAAATAGTAAATCGTTTTTTATTTGTGAATTTATTGTATTTAATTGTACATTAAGAAAATTAAGTGTTCACTTAATATACATATACATATATATTTATTTATTTATTTATTTATTTATTTATTATATATTTTTTTTAATTGTTTTTTTAACATACAATTTACAAACACACACAGACACAGACACACACACACACACCGACACACACTCTAATGAAAATGCCCTCTTGCCCTCCACCTAGTTGCCTCTGACCCCAGCAAGCGTGTGTGTGCGTGTGTGTGTGTGTGTGTGTGTGCGTGTGCGTGTGCGTGTGTGTGTGTGTGTGTGTGTGTGTGTGTGTGTGTGTGTGTGTGTGTGTGTGTGTGTATGTGTGTTTGAAAAATAAAGAAATAAAGAAGTGTTCTGAGTTTCAATGCTAGGGCCCCAAACCTGGCCCCTGGCAACACCAATAATACAGAAATCTCTTTACAGAAATGTCAAATATGGAGCAATCATTCGTTTCACATCATCATATTTTATCTAGTCTCCTTTCAAAGCACAGTTGGACTGAATTTCACATAGTAAACTCTAGTGATCAATCAAAAATAAAAATGATGCTATTAATTAATTTCCTTTGTGTCATTCCACACCCCTTAGACCTTTGTTTGCTTTCAGAATATAAGTTTTATATATATATATATATATATATATATATATATATATATATATATATATATATATATATATATATATATATATTATTAAGATTATTATTACTTTATTATTATTTATATATTTTCATTTCCACTTGTAAATGTGCATCCCATACTGATATTGAGGAGAAGAAACGGTTGAATATTTTTATTTATTTTTTGTTTTATGTGTGCACAAAAGGAATTTCATGGCTTCATAATATTCATAATATGAGAATATTACAATATTCATAATAGAAATTAACTGTTTTTCAGATGTTAAAGTATTCATAATATGAAAATATAATATTCATATTATACATTAAATGTTTTTCAGATGTTATAGTATTCATAATATAAGAACATTATAATATTTATAATATAAATAATATACATGGACTGTTTTTCAGATGTTAGAATATTCATAATATAAGACAATCATTCATTTTCTTTTTCGCAGCTTAGTCCCTTTATTAATCAGGGGTAGCAACAGCGGAATGAACCGCCAACTTATCCAGCATATGTTTTATGCAGCGGATGCCCTTCCAGTCACAACCCAACACTGGGAAACACCTATACACTCTTGCATTCACACACATACACTACAGACAATTTAGCTTATCCAATTCACCTATAGCGTATGTCTTTGGACTGTGGGGGAAACTGGAGCACCCGGAGGAAACCCACGCAAATTAATCATATTCATAATATAAGATTATTTAATATTCGTAATACACATAACAACATACATGAACTGTTTTTCAGATGTTTTTTTTTTTTGTTCCTTTCTGGATTTTGAACAAGTCAGAACTGTTGCTGTCTACAGAGGATGAGGGAGATCTCAAATTTCATCCAAAATATCTGAATGTGTGTAAATAGTTAAGAACGACATGGAGTGAGTATTTATTATTTATAGAATTTTCTTTTTTGGGTGAACTAATCTTTTAATGCTGTCAAAACCCACCCGGTACGAACTTCTTTGACTGTGCATTTCACAAATTAATAGACACCCTTAGAATCAGCCATTCAAAATCAAGCATTCAACAGCTCTAGTATAAATGTATCTTAATGAATTTACTGAAAAATAAAACATCAATGCATTTATTCAAAATCAACTTGATCTTTTTGTAAAACAGCTGACAACTTGGATGAATAGAACATTTGATCAGTTTACATAATGGCTCTAGCTTTGAGTATCTTCAGATTAGGTTTCTGTCTGCTAAATATAAAATGGATTTTTCTTAATATGACAGCAGTTTTTGAGCCATTATGTGCCAATATTTGAAAACAACATCATGATTGTCTCTATGTAATTTACAAAAACACACATTTGTGAATAAAGTGACATCATGCATATACACACAATACCTGTTCAATCTATGCTTATTATAGTGTAAGTATTTCACAACCAAAACAACAATTATTGACTATAAGACTATACAAGAAGGAAAAAAAGTGTAAAATAAAATCTGCCACAGCTTCTTTATGAAACCATTACTCCAATAAGCAATTTCAACTTTAACTATGCCAAAAAAAATTTTTTATTATTATTTTTATGCAGTTAATTTCTTCCAGCCCCTATTATAGTAAATAATGCTATTATTTGATGATCAACATTTAATCAGAATAATATTTATTTATGACATTTTATTGGTAATAAAAGCAGTACATTAATTATTTTACCACATTAATCTTAATTAAGTTCACTGACAACCTTTTGAAAAAAAAATGACAGTGTGTAAAAAGTAACATTGAAATTGAAAATGTATTTAGCAGAAGTTTCTCCCACCTGGTGTCTCCTCACTCCTCCTCTGCAGCTCCGTCTCAACTTGATCCAGAACATTCTCTAGTTCATCCAGGAGCTTCTTTAGGTATTTCATGTTATCATGGTCAAATAATTTACTCTGGAGAGATAAAAACAAACTAGTGTTTCATTGCAAATCACGTCTGGGCAATATAATTATAAATATTGTAATCTCTGTGAAGTGAAACATAATAAAATCTTAGATGTCTTTACACTAACTTATAAGTGTGAACACTGCCCTCCAAACCTTGATGTGCACTGAACTGGACCAAGTATACTACATAGTTGAACTCGGTCCAGTTCTAACTAACTCTGCTGCTAAAATATTAACACAAATAAAAATACAAAAATAAAGACTAATATATTAAAACAACATGGACAAAAAAAAATCCTAAAATATTAAAATAAGCAACTATGAAAAAGACAAAATGCTCAAGAATATCACTTATTTCATCATAGTCCAGATGTTGTTCAGTACAATACAAATTTCAGAAATGCCTCTCATTGTGGCAAATCTTTATTTAAGTTTGGACTCCTTTATTCCTTTATACATTTTTAAGCTGATGCAAATACCCTCACATGCATTATATACACCATTTGACAGGTCTGTCACAAAATACATAACATTTACATTAAATAAAAGAAAAACCAAGATTATGTGGGAAAAAAATATAAAACAAATCTTCTAGAACATTTAGTTTAAAATGCCCTTTAAAACTCTATACAGGATACTGTGGGTCATAAGGAAGAATGTGGAGATGAGTAAAGGGTGATGAGTAAAATGTAAATCATTTGGTTACTTTATATCTGTTATCTTGAAAAGTGTATATAATCAATGAAGATTTATAACTTTATAACATAATACATATAGAAAAATAGCTAAAATTGTAAAAGGGCTGGGAAAAAAACAACAAGACTATGCTTTATTCCACACCTTTTCGGACATACTGCAGGTTTTTAACATTTAATAAATATAAAACTGGGAAAAAGTTCACTTAAAGTCCACTTCATCTTTTTAGAGTTTATTTAGTGTGAATGGTGTAGAATAGTGCATAAGTATGCGATTTGGGACCTATTTTCTTTTTTGGTCTGAACCAGGTTTCAGCTCCAAATGTAGACACACCTTTAGTTCACCAAGAGCTACAGAGATTAGGTTGCACCAACAGTGCGTCAGTTAAAACATAGCCTAGTTGTGACTTAAAGGGACACTAAGTTACAACTTACACACTATTAAATATTTTTGTTGCGCCACTGAACTTAGTTTAAACATAAAGCTGTGTATAACAGTAGAAAAGAGATTACAGTGAGATTAGATGACATTGAGGAGCTCGTGATAATAGTGAGGAATGACCTCTATTTACAGCTTTATTTTCCTCCCAAATCATACATTTTTTCAGTTTGTGAAAGAAAATGAGTGTTTTGACTTCTTTCAAAGAGTGTTTTGTGTTAATTATCCATAAATTAAAATGAGAATTTCTTCATGACTGAGTTCTTTTCCCTTCTCTTTCTCTTTCATGTGTAGTATAAAAAATCAAGTTTAATGTTTTGATAACTTGTGTACTGATGTGTATTTCATATGAATTCATGGCTCGCGATACAGGTCTCCAAATCAGTTTTTTTACATTCAAATCAGATGAACGGTGTAGGAATTACAACAGTTTGCATATGTGCCTTCCAAGTGTGTGTTATTCCCTCATTATTCCAATTACAATGAGCAGATAAAAGGTCCAGAGTTTATTTCAAGTGTGCTATTTGCATTTCGAACCTGTTACTGTCAACTATCAAGATGAGATCCGAAGAGCTGTTACTATCAGTCATCAAGCCATCATTAGGCTGAAAAAACAAAACAAACCCATCAGAGAGATGGCAAAAACATTAGGCATGGCCAAAACAACTGTTTGGGACATTCTTAAAAAATAAAAAAACACACCAGTGAGCTCAGAAACACCAAAAGACCCGGAAGACAACGGAAAACAACTGTGGTGGACGACCAAAGAATTCTTTCCCTTGTGGAGAAAACACCTTTCACAACAGGTGGCCAGATCAAGAACACTCTCCAGGAGGTAGGTGTATGTGTTAAGGTCAACAATCAACAGATGACTTCACCAGAGTGAACAGGAAGGCCAGATTGGAGTTCTAAAAAAGCTTTAACATGGCTGGAACAACATCCTCTGGACAGATGAGATCAAGATCAACCTGTACCAGATTGATGAGAAGAGAAGAGTATAGAGAAGGAAAGGAACTACTCATGATCCTAAGCAGTGAAACATGGTGTCAATAGTGACATGACGTGAGCAAGTACTGCATTGCTGTCAGTGGAACTGGTTCTCTTGTATTTATTGATGATGTGACTGCTGACAAAAACAGCTGGCTGAATTCTGAAGTGTTTCAGGCACAATTTTCTGCTCATATTTAGTTAAATGCTCCAGAACTCACAGGACGGTGCTTCACAGTGCAGAAGAAGAGTGATCAAAAGCATAATACAAAAGCAGATTAAAGAGTTAAGGAAAGGAAAAGAAGTGGAATGTTATGCAATGGCCAAGTCAATCACCTGATCTAAATCTGATTGAGCAAGCTTTTCACTTGCTGAAGACAAAACTAAAAGGAAAATGCCTCAAGAACAAGCAGGAACTGAAGACAGTCGCTGTAGAGGCCTGGCAGAGCACCACCAGGAATAAAGCCCACTGTCTGGTGATGTCTGCGTTCCAGACAACAGGCTGTAATTGACTGCAAAGGATTTGCAACCAAGTATTAAAATGTTAAAGTTTGATTTATGATTATTATTCTGTCCAATTACTTTTGGTCCCTTAACAAGTGGGAGGCACATGTGCAAACTGTTGTAATTCCTACACCGTTCACCTGATTTGGATGTAAATATACTCAAATTAATGCTTACAGTCAGCGGTTAAAGCAAATCTTGTTTGTTTATTTTCAAATCCATTGTGTTGGTGTGAAAAAAAATGTTAGAATTGTGTAGAATTGTATTTTAAACCTTAAATAAAAGTTTAAAAGATATTATTTTTTTTATTTCACATATTAAAGTTTTAGTTATGATACTCCTAAAGTAATTCCACAGAAATCAGTTTTTTACCAAAATTCTCTGCAGAAATAGCAAAAAAACGTCCGCAGATTCTCTCTGGCCCTACCTATAACTACGGTCTTCCTTAGGAACATGTGGTGCAACTGAAGTAAGAACAAATTTAGTTACAAAACTAGCTACTAGTTACCAAGCCCCTAGTGTGAACTTCTAGTTTAAGAAAGAACTTACGAACAGCTGGTTCAACGTACATACCCAGATAATCCTATGGAAAACTAAAACAGAGCTCAGCATCAGTGTTTACTTACTTTTAGACGCCTTTGTTTTGCAATATAAGCATCTTTAAGATCAGGATTCTCTACTGCTAGTTTCTTCAGCTCAGATTCAGTGTTTCCAATCTGTGCTGTAAGACAGAACCCACAGTTCATTCACAAAAAAAAACAAAAAACAGATTGCATCTCAGTTGAATCAAACATCCTCTTTCTCCATCTTACTGCGAATGTGTGTAGTGGCATAGGCTGGTATGTGGGAGTCTACGGTGATCTCTGGGTGGAGAATACAGCCGTGGGTGTAGGCATCCATCTGCAGGGAGTCCAGCAGTTCTCTGTAATGCTGTACTCGATGATAATACGTGCTTCCCTCTTCTGGGATCAGCTTTGGAGTTTGTTCTGATTCAGAGAACAGAATATGCAGGTTATATAAACAAATGACTCCAGAATGTAAACCATGTGAGCTGCTACCCTACAGCACATCTTGTTTGGACTCACCCTCTAATGCCCCTCAAGTTATCCATACTGTACTTCTGAACAGGCATGCTGAATGTAAGGTGGTACATGCAAACGTAAATGCAAGTAAATGAAAACAGAAAAAGAAATGCACTGAACACAACAAAAGAAGCAAACTAGCTATGCACACATTGAAAACCAGCTGCTTAGTCATGTATTAAACCATTTAATGCATGAGTTAATAGACTCAATTTATAATTTCTAAGCAAACTGATTCCTGGCCTTTGTTGTAATGCAATATATACAAATCCATGCTATAATGTCAAGGCTAACAGTTCTGTCAGGTTCTCAAATCTGATTGGCTGATTGCGTTGCGATATTCTGCAATAACAGCACTTGTACAGCATCCTCAACCTTGTGTATTTCTCTGCCCACTTAGAGTGACAGCAGATCAATAAACACTACGGTTTGAAAGATTTTGCAGCTGTTAGACAACATAAAGTATTTCTGAGGCTTTTCAGGAAAGAATATAGTTGTTTAAATTGCAACTATGCAGTTTATTTATGAGGATAGTGCCCATTTAAAATCCACAAGATAGTGACAGAGACCACATAATAAGCCCTTAGAGGAGAAAACCCAGCATAATTTCAAACTACAGCTGATCAAATCATTTTAAAACTGGTTCATAAGTGATTTTCTAAGTCGATCTCTCTCTTTTAAATGTTATAGTGCTGTATTTATGCCATAGTAATCTGGTAGTGTATTGAGTGTAAGATAGGACTCACATCAGGTATTTTGTGTTGGCCACTCTTTGTATAGCCCTTAGTTACTTTTGGTTGGCCATCTGTTTGTTTCTAATGAGTCTCCTGTTTTCATTACTGCAGACTTGTTCAGTAAACAGAGAGAAAGAAGAAAAGCCTGCGTGTGTTTAGCGTTTTTCCATATCGCAAACACAACAGTAATCTGCAAGTGTTTGCACTGCTTTGACTTTTTCGGGGTTAGATATTGTGATCTCCCCATTGCAACAGAGAAATACTGTCATTCAGCCTTATAATCTTACACTAGAGAATTATTCAAACACTAGCTCTAAAGTGATGTTGGTGAATTAGCAGCAGTTTCTGCTGTTCTGATGTTAGCTGCAGATGTGAATGAATGGCAGATGAAAGTAGTTCCTCATACAAAAGGATTTTTAGACTCACAGTGTTTGATTTTCTTTGATTTTCACTCGCAGCATTGCGATATGGCTGTATATCATCACTGGTTGGGCACTTAGGCACTCGGCCTGTGGCCTCTTGCCAATGCACGCCTCCCACCAGTGCCGGTACACAGCCATATCGCACTGCTATAAGTGTGATATTGTTCATATAACAATCACAGTGTAGTCCCAAAATATTAATTAATTGTCATTTTAAAAATGTATTTTATTGTATTAACATAATTTAGAAAATTTAAAACACATGTATTTATGTACATTATGTAAATACATACATTTTTATTAATTAATATTATTTTATAAATTATTATTCATTTTTAAAGATACTGGCTAATATTAGGCACCAAATATTACTTCATTACTATGAAGTACTTGGCCAGCTATATCAAATAATAATAATAATAATATTAATATTAACAATTGTAATAGGGCAGCACAGTGGCGCAGTGGGTAGCCCAATCACCTCACAGCAAGAAGGTCGCTGGTTTGAGCCCTGACTGGGTCAGTTGACATTTCTGTGTGGAGTTTGCAAAAGTTGGCAGTTCATTTCGCTGTGGCGACCCCAGATTTATAAAGGGGCTAAGCTGAAAAGAAAATGAATGAATGAATAAAAATAAATAAAATAATAATAATAATAATAGAGCTAAGTATTACTACATACATTCATTTTCTTTTCAGCTTAGTTAATTTATTAATCCGGGGTCGCCACAGCGGAATGAACCATCAACTTATCCAGCACATTTTAAAGCAGCGGATGCCCTTCCAGCCACAACCCATCTCTGGGAAAAGTATTATTACTATTATTATTATTATTATTATTAGTAGTAGTAGTAGTAGTAGTAGTAGTAGTAGTAGTAGTAGTAGTAGTAGTATAACCATTATAATAAAAAATCATAAATAAAACACATCTGTGACATATGTATTTAAAATGGGCAATTTTATAAAATGATGATGATGATGATGATGATGATGATGATGATGATTAGAATGTTACATTGCTCAAAACAAACACACAAAAATTCTTTACCATGGCGGGTGCCATGCATCAAGGGGTAAATGACATATGCTTCATATGTTTTCTTATATTTATTACACTTTACTCTACAATTAATGCATTGAATATTGGTCTCCACACAACATCAACCTTGCATCTCAAATGTTTACCATCACAGAAGTTCTGCTCCAGATAGTCCATGATTTGTGTGGGATCACAGATGACATGATTGTCATGCACCAGCACAGGCACTTCTCCAGTGGGGTTCAGACGCATAAACCAGGGCTCATTGTGCTCACTCAGAGGAAGACTCACATCATAATCCTCACACTGCAGACCTTTCTCAGCTATTGCCAGCCTCACCTGTGACAGAAGCAGTTTAGATGTTTGCTTCTTAGACCAGCAGTTATTTTTCACTTAACTCTATTATCTTGTTAAAGAAAAACAACAGCAGATTCTGCTCCAGCTAGTTAGGCATGGGATGGTATGACTGATCTTGCAGAAATCATTTCTGAATTTTTTATTATGGTGTAGCCTACAGTATTATCACAATATTGACATAATCTGCAAAAAATAAAAGTTACTTTAACAGGTATAATAACAAAGAAAAGTACAATTCTGTGTATTGATCTATTGTATGTAATTGTTCATAGTAATGATAATAAATATGTAGTTAAAACGTAACAAGTAAAAATGATCATAAATTACACTAGTTAAAACTTTAGTTTACGAGGTGTCCTTGTACAGCAAACACCGTTTAATGCAATAACATTGTGAGAAATTTGTTACAAAAGTAATTGTGTTAATGTCCGTTTTAAATATACATATATACTATATATGTATAAATGTTTCGTTTTTCCCCAATTTATGTTTAATGGAAAAAATATTTTTTAATACATTTCTGAACATAATAGTTTTAATAACTCGTTTCTAATAATGGATTTATTTTATCTTTGTCATGGTGACAGTAAATATTATTTTACTAGATATTTTCAAGACACTTCTTTACATATAAGTTAATTAGGTTATCTAGGATAGTTTGTTCTGTAGATAATCGAGAAAAAGTATAGCTTAAAGGGGCTAATAATGTTGTCCCTAAAACTGAAATAAAACAAATAAGACTTTCTCTAGAAGAAAAAATATTATCAGACTCTGTTCAACATCATTTGGAAAATATTTTTTAAAAAAAGAGAAAAAAATTTGAAGGGGGCTAATAATTATGACTTCAACTATATATATATATATATATATATATATATATATATATATATATATATATATATATATATATATATATATATATATATATATATTGATTAAACTATGTTTACAAATGGTGCTTTATTGTGAAGGTTAAATATAGAACAAACAGCTTAAAAAATACATTTTCAATCAAATAAAATACTGTACATTTCAATATTTTAAATATGAAAAGCCTATAAAGTCTTCATGCACTTGAACTGTAATGAACACAACTGTAAACACAACTATGAATATTCATAAAGCTAGCTAAAAGTTTAAATTATAGTCTTTACATATTTATTCTTGGTCACCTGATGTGCCCTATATTTGCCCTTATCATTATGCAGGTTCATTACTAAGATACAATTATTGAATGTCATGTCTTCTGACGTCTAATCACAACAGTTATGATTTAGATATCAATATTTACAGCAATTTGACCGCACTTGCATCCTCGCGCAGCATTAACTGTAAGTATGAATTATTAACATCAATCATGTGCACGCACTGTGCAAGCAGAGAGCCATAGATAAATAATCCAAATGATGACAGCCAGGTCAATAAAATATGTTAATATCTCAATCAAAACAACATCCTGTATCCACCCTGATGCTCTTGAGCTGCCCAGTGATGTTGAATTTTATCTTACCTTCTGAGAGCTGAACGATTGAGTCCAGTGATACAATATTAGTTTGGATGCTTTAGTTTTTGTGCTCTCGACAATCTCACCGCTGTCTTGTGCATCTTTTTTAATAAGGATTTCCTTCTCATCCTGAGATTCTCCTTCTCCGATGTTTTCCACCGCCATCTTATCATGAATTGGCCGTGTCTCAAAACCTAGTTTCTTACTATGGCATGTTTGTGTATATTACGCGTGGGCTGCGTTTTTTGCGCATGTTACGCGCGGGCTGCGTTTGGACATCACAGGCGCGCACCCACGGAATCGACTGCGCATTGATGCATTTGCTACATTGCCTCTATGATGATTACAAATGCTGACTAGATAGGGAGCTCGCTAGATTTTGAGACACGAGCCGTGTGTTGAACAGCGCAGCTTCCAGCTCTGGTACCCAACTTCTTAAAGGACACGCGTCCACATTAGTTGTAAAATTGTTTATACTATGTCTACAAATAAGGATTTATTGCACTAATTCGGCTTATTCCCTGGTTTATCATGGGGTCGCCACAGCGAAATTAACCGCCAATTACTGGCATATGTTTTACGTAGGCTAGTGGATGCCCTTCCAGCCGCAACCCAGTTTTTCACACCTATTTAGTTCATTCAATTCACTTTATACCGCTTGTCTTTGGCCTACCAAAGCACAAAGAGGAAACCCACAACATGGCAAATTCCATGCAAATCCCAAGCATTTAATTATCAAATTTTATTGTATATATAAAGCTGTTCGTTTATTTTATATATAGCCACTGATTTCATTATACGAGGTATTTAAGCGCACTTTTTTTTACGAACCAACAGATGTCTCCGCAGATTACTTTTCTAGAATTACATCAAGTTGAGACAACAAAACGTAATTTATGATGTGAATACTTACAAAAATAAATGTCACACAAAAATAAACATTTCAAATACAATTTCGTAATGTAAAGAGTTTCTGTTAAGTTGCCTATACTCGTCCATCCGTTATTTCACATAAATATTAAGGTACAGAATACAATATTACGCGACTGTTGAGCGACAGACATATAATAATAATATCAATAATAATAATAATAATAATAATAATAATAATAATAATCACAAGCAGACTACACAAAACAGTTGATCAAATAATAAACATAATAATATCAATATTATTAAAAATAATACTTATAATAATAATAATTATAAAAATTATTATTGTTGTTGTTGTTTTTTTATTTTATTAATAATAATAATAATAATAATAATAATAATAATAATAATAATATCAATAATAATAATAATAATAATAATAATAATAATAATCACAAGCCAAGGTAGACTACACAAAACAGCTGATCAAATAATAAACATAATAATATCAATATTATTAAAAATAATACTTATAATAATAATAATTATAAAAATTATTATTGTTGTTGTTGTTGTTTATTTTATTATTATTATTATTATTAATAATAATAATAATAATAATAATAATAATAATATCATTATTATTATTAATATTCAAACAAATGTGTTTATCCTATGTTGTGGTCTTCAACCCCCCAATGCAAAGAAATGTTCAAAGTTCAAGATATAAGATTGCCAATTAAGCAACACTAACATTATTCATTTTGTGTGTTTTTGCAGTTTATAGTTTTAATGATTTTACATTACGTTTATCCTTCCCCAATGCATGGAGGCCCTCTAGTGGGGCTCGAGCCCCTGGTTGAGAACATCTGCTTTAGGGTCAGTGTATGTATCGTCATTTTGGAAATTACAAAAAAAAGATTTAAAAAACAAATTCGAAAATACTCAGAAAACAACATGATATGGGCTAATCATCCCTTAATTTTATTGACATGTCGGTTGTGGACATGGCATGTGTGCAGTGCAATTTGTCATGTTTTAGTTACATTTTTATAAAGCATTTATTTGTTATATTTTTCCTCTTGAAATGTGAGTTCTTACCGGTTCTAACCTCTGAACCAGTGCCCCAGCTCTCCGTTATCTCGGCGCGGGTGAAGTGGGCGGGGCGGCGGAGATGACGCGCAGGACTGACAGCATCTCTCGCCGCTGTTCCCGGTCTCGGTGTGTCTGCTCTGCGCAGCGCCTGCGAACGGAGGGAGTCAGAGAAACGCAGCGGCGGTTCCGGGCAGCGCGTGCGGCTTCGGTAATGATGCACTAAACCTGCCTCTTCATTCACACTCTCACTGACAAATACTGAAACCACAACCACCACAACATCATCTCCACTGTGATCCATTCTCTTCGGTTTCATCGTCGCGGCTGAACTCGGAAGATTTAATGAAAGAGAAAGACGAGAAGAAGCGCACGGCAACGTTACGACTGTTTTTATTTTCATCCCATTCTGAATGACGGGCGGACGGTTCGACTTCGACGATGGAGGCACTTACTGTGGCGGATGGGAGGACGGGAAAGCCCACGGACACGGCATCTGCACGGGACCCAAGGGTCAGGGCGAGTACTCCGGGTCCTGGTCCCACGGGTTTGAGGTAGTCGGGGTCTACACCTGGCCCAGCGGGAACACGTACCAGGGCTACTGGTCGCAGGGGAAGCGCCACGGGCTGGGTGTTGAGACCAAGGGGAAATGGCTTTATCGCGGGGAGTGGAGTCACGGGTTCAAGGGTCGCTATGGAGTTCGGCAGAGCACCAACACACCTGCTAGATATGATGGGACGTGGAGTAATGGACTGCAGGATGGATATGGAGTCGAAACCTATGGGGATAGTGGTGAGTGCCAGTGGTGTTTACAACTGACAGCTGTGTGCAAATGGAAATAGTAAACAATTTAACAATTTTGGCATCGCTGGTTTTCACATTTGGTACCAGGTACCCTCGCAAGGGAGTGCTTTAGGGGGTCTTTAAGGGGAGAAAAAAAAAAAACATAAAAAGAAATGAACGATAAGAAATAATTTAATTAATTAAAAAATACAAAAATAAATAGAGCAACATTATTAAGGTAATCAGATGATAGCAAAAAGAAAAAAATAGTGCGTTTATTAATAATTCAATATTAAAGACATTACATTTACAGTATGTTTGAAAATCACTATTGCTATATTAAATAGTTATGAAAACCACCTCTGTTTTGGGGGGGTGGGGAGGGGGGGGGGGGGTCATACTAGGGTCCAGAGACCATAAGGGGGCCACAAGGGTGGCCTATGAAAATGTTTAGAGGGGGAAAAAAGATAATTAAAAAATAAATAAATAATCGAATAAATCAATTAAATATAAAATAAACAATTTAACATTTTCTTAATATATATATATATAAACATTAAATATATATTAATAGAAATGTATACATTTGTACAAAATATTTAATTGCATTTAAATAAATATATAATTATATTATTACATTATATTCAAATGCATAAATAAACTGATCTGAAACAAATAAATACATTTAATAAAATAATGAAATAAAATAATAAATACAGTACCATGATGAGAAGAAAATGATCCAAATGATCATTTCAGATAAGACAATTCAGTGATCAACTTTAGTTTGCTAAAAGATGTGTTTATAGACATCCTTGAAATGTATTTCATTGATTCATAAAGCAAAACTCATATCTTGAACTACAGTTTGTCATGTGAACAGCCAGTCAGCAACAACACAGATTTAAGCCTCACAATCCTTAAGAACAACATAACACTGTAACAGCTGTTGCTTCATTTCAAATCAGACATGACGAGAGTAATAACTTGTGCTCCAGTGAGTCAGATTAATTCAGTAACCGTTCTGACTGAATCATAATAGTTTTTGATTCACTATATAGCAGCTCAAGGAGTCAGATACACTATATGTTTGATTTACTGAAAGGAATTGGATTAAATAATGGAACATTTGTGTAGGAACTGGACTACAGAGGAAAATAAATGTTTTTACATGATAGTTTGTACCGAAAAACAAACAACTGTAACGTCTGTCTTTGGTCAACTGTCAGGTCAAAGGTCATTGCTATTAGGTGTAAATAAAACTAAGTTTAGTTTTTAAATGAATACCCTGAAGAAGTCCCACTGAACTTCACACAAGACTTTATCCCAAATTGTTTTCTGCAATTGCGTCAAAATATAATACCATTTGGTGCATTTTATTGCATTGTTTGACACCCAACATTTACAGATCATTTTGCAATTTAGTACCATATTAGTTTCAAATGTTCTTGCTGACTTGTGGATCTGTGTCATTCATGTATGTGATTTCATTCATTCAGAGTGACTAATGAACACTGTAAATATAAAATATAAATCATATTTGTCATTCATCACTAATGGCACAAAGAAATTTGAATGATCTAATTTTCATGAGTTTAATATTTTGGATATTAGTTGTTGACAAGTATTCTTAATGTTCTTAACGTGCCTTAAAGCACGCTTATTTATTTATTTATTTATTTATTTATTTATTTATTTATTTATTTATTTGTTTATTTTCTTTATTATTATTTTGTTGTGTCATACTCTCAGACTCAAGTTCAATTCTCACTGACGTTCTTTTGTTATACATAAAAAGGAGATATTTTGAAGAATGTGGGTAAGCAGAATTGTTTTTCAGAAAATAGGCCATACTTTTACGTTCAACAACAGATATTGATTCATGCAGATTTGGAAATAAAAAATAGGTTCAATTATTGCTGAAAATGCATCTTTTATGCTATTTTTAAGGTTGCTAATTTTCTACCTCCCACAGTGGGTTTCATGCATCCACTTGTTACACATTGCATTATACGATCTGCTTATGTTGCATCAGATTTCTTTTGGCACTCAGAATAGTAACTGTCGAGCTTATGAATGCATTATCTAAAAAGATATTTTTAGATTTATACATTATCGGTAGATAGTTTAACAGTTTGCAGACTTCTTGCAGTGCGGACTTTGATTGTGATGTTTAATTATACTTATTAAAGGGAAGACAAAACGTCAGCAGTGTGAGAGTTTTTCACTGTGGAAAAGGATGATTTCAGAGTTACAACTTGTAAATGATTTTACTTAAAAACAAACATTTTCTTTTGCTTTTTATGTTTTTAAAGTTACAAAAATCAACAGTATTTGTTTTTTGCCTTTTGATTTATAATACAGCGCAAAAAAAGTTCATATAAAGATTTTTTTTTTTCATGTATTCAATTCATGTTTATTTCCATGGCACTTTTACAATGTAGATTGTGTCAAAGCAGCTTAACATAGAAGTTCCAGTAAACTGAAACTATTAGTCCAGTTTTAAGAGTTGAAGTTCAGTTTACTTCAGTTCAGTGTGGTTTAAATTTCACTGCTGAAAGTCCAAAACACCGTAGAGCAAATCCATCAATGCACAGCTCAAATGCACTGCAAGTTAAGAAAACACACCCCTATTGAAAAACATCATCAATTTGACAACACATGTGCATGCTATTTTTTTAAAGTATGCAAATAGAGAAACATACTGCAAATAGCACAGACCGTAATAGAAAACCACTAGCTTTCCTTTTTAGAGTCAAAGGTGTTGTTGGAGAGCTATCCGTTTAACATGCAGCCAGTTTGAGCTCTCTTGAAAACTGTAGTTATTGGCTTCCAAATATAAGGAGTCTTATTGGTTATTAGTTTTGGCTAATATTTCCATATTGATGCATCCCTACTTTTTAAATTCACAAACAAAAAACAAACATTCTCTCAGGATTTTCCCACTTAAGTCTTGTTAATTCTTGTTTTGGTGGCAGAGTCCAGACACTAGTCCTGTCTTGTCTAATATGTTGAGCTCGGCTCAAGTATTCTCAGGTCAAGCATTCATTTTCTTTCATTGTATTTGTCTTTGTATGAATGCCGTCTCAGCCGCGCTCAGGCCGTGTGCGCTCTTTTTTCTGTCGGCAGCTTGCTGTTTTATTCTCAGCGTCTCAGTCTAGTTGGTTTCGGTTTCAGTTGGCGCTGGGATGGAACAAGCATGTTGCATGTGTGAGTGCACAACACAACTAAACATAACACCAACACAAACAGAAGGCAAGGCACAAGCACATGATAAATGAAAACACTTATCATGTGCTTGTGTCTTGCCTTTTGTCTGTGTTGGTGTTGTGTTTGGCACGTAGTTCATGTTTATATGCGCCGCATGCTTTAGTGTTGTGTTTCATGTGAACACGCGGTTAATGAGTTCTTTCGTTCTCTGCGTGTTCTAGTCCTGTTTTACATGAGCACATGGATTGTGTTGTTTTTTTGTACCAAGGGCGTAGCGGACACTTTAAAAGTGTGTGTGTGTTGGGGGGCAGCTGTATTAGATCCAAACATTTACATTTATATAATTATTAATCACCTGTTTCTAAATGGACTGTCTCTAAAAGTGAGGGAGACGTATCCCCCCTGGCCCCCCGGTTGCTACGCCCTTGTTTTGTACCATGTGCTCTCCCGTGTATTGTCTTGTCCGACCCACCTTGTTATCCTATTATTTATCATTGTGTTCACCTGCTCTCTTGTCAGTTTATTGGTTTGCTTTCCCTATTTATTCTCCCAGTATGCTCTTTCCTGTGCTGTACTGTTGTCGTTGTTCCTGCGTCGTTGATTCTGTGTCTGCCAAGCCAAGCCGAGTCAAGTCAGTTTTGTTATGTTGCTCGATTTTTTTTTCCCCACAGGGTTGTTTCAGTTGTTTTTGTTGCTTTTATATAATTAAATACTTGGTTATTTGCATTTGGGTTTTCGCCTCATCCTTCCCAACCTCAAACCCTGAAACAGTCCTGCTTAAGCTGAACAAACAAACTTCAAGAAAGAAAATATTGACACTTCACAAATCCACATCCTTAAGAGAATAAAACTGTTTCTTCTTGCACTGTTCATTTACTTGTTTGTTTCTGTGTCATCAGGCACTTATCAAGGCCAGTGGATGGGGGGCATGAGGCATGGCTATGGCGTCCGTCAGAGCGTGCCTTATGGAATGGCCACCATCATCCGTTCTCCGCTCCGCACCTCCCTGGCCTCTCTAAGAAGTGTGCAAAGCAACGGCGCCGTTCTCCAGGACACAGTACCAGACACTCCAGTTGGAAGCCGTGGTGGTTTCGTGCTGAATTTTCACAGCGACACCGAAGTCGTCACCGGTAAGAAGAAGGGCCTGTTCCGTCGCGGGTCTCTCTTTGGGAGCCTCCGCCAGCTGCGTAAATCTGACTCCAAAACGTCCATCTCTAGCAAGCGAAGCTCAGCACGTAGCGATGCCACCATGAGCCGCATCAGCTCCAGCGACGCCAACTCCACCATCAGCTATGGAGAAGGAGAGGTGCCTGATGATTACACGCCAATGGAGGACCACGTGGATGCCACCACCACTGAGTCCTACATGGGCGAATGGAAGAACGATAAGCGCAATGGGTTTGGGGTCAGTGAGAGATCCAACGGGCTGAAGTATGAAGGGGAATGGATGAACAACAAGAGGCATGGATACGGGTGCACCATATTCCCTGATGGAACCAAAGAGGAGGGGAAGTATAAAAATAACGTGCTGGTGCGCGGGATAAGGAAGCAGCTCATTCCTCTTAAAAACCATAAAACGAAGGAAAAAGTGGACCGGGCTGTGGAGGGGGCTCGAAGGTCGGCAGCTATCGCCAGGACGAAAGTGGAAATAGCAGTTTCAAGGTAGGACCACTTCTTGCGCTGGCAGCGCGTATTCTGTCATCACCTACACATCCTGACATTTCAAACCCATATGAGTTTCTTTCTTCAGGAGAACGAGAAAGGTGAAATGGTGATGAATGTGCAATGTTCACAGATCATGGGATCACTAAACAATTTTAATGAGTTCAATATCAAATAATTTCACCAACCTATCAGCGAAACACTTTTAAAGGGCACCTATTTTACCCCCTTTTCAAGATTTAGGATAAGTCTTTTGTGTCTGTAAAGTTTCAGCTCAATATACTTATCAGATTATTTGTTATAGTTTTCTGTATATTGGAAATTTAAGCTGTTAGGACATTGTAGCTGTTTTTGTTGCCTGTGCCTTTAATGCAAATGAGCTGGTTCTCACCGCCCACTGTTCCCAAGTGCATGTCAGAGAGATTGCTCGTTATTGCTCTGATGCATTTAGCCTTCACAAAGATAAATAGCACCGTGACAGACACGATCGAAGCAGATCTCCATTACTAAAGAAATTTAACAATGTTTATTGTGATATTTATGGGTGAGTTAATTCAAGCCTTTCTGCAACGATGAGTCACACACAATGTCATTAAAAATCTTTTATAATTATACTGACATTATGCGGCTGTAGTGATGAACTACAGCTATTTTATTGTCATTATTACAAAAATGCACTATTTTAAAAACATTTTAATCCTGTAAAATTCATTCTTAAGGTGCAGATGACCACAGAGAGCTGAGATCTTTTAATCCCAGTTGCTTTGCGCACGTCCTGTGTTGTTTATATATATATATATATATATATATATATATATATATATATATATATATATATATATATATATATATATATATATATATATATATAGGATTTTTTCCAGCTGTGGTGGCAGACCTTCTACACAAATCTACCAACTAATTTTGGCATTATTACAATGACAAATGGAGAAATGTTGTGAGCACAGTATTACAAGTCGAGACTGTATTTATGCAATACGAACATGCAAATCTTTTTTGCTTGCGCGCCGATTTCCTCTGCTCGTGCACAAAACCTCTTGCACACTCCCTCAAATATACGCTGCTCAAGCGCAGATCATACTTGTGCGCTCTCAAATAAACAATGAAATGAAGTGCAATTTAGCGCATTTATGTTGTATGTCTTCAACATTTTCTAGATTTGCTAAGAATATTTATGAATGTCTCCAATAGACCTACAGAGCGGCATTGATGTGTCCTGAAGAAAAGTGAAACAGCTAGAAACTCCAGCAAGATAAAGTCATTGTATGCAGAGCCATAGACCTTTATCTATAAAGTACAATTATGGAAACTGTGTTCATCATAAATGAAAGCCATGTCGTGTTTGCTGGCCTCACGTATCACAAACCTGTCAGTCAGTCAGTCAGCACATAACCTCAAAGGGTCAAACAACAACAATGACTGAATGTTTTGAATGAGAAGCTGAAATGTTGCCATGGTGGGATGCATTTTGATGTGGCGCCCCGCCATGGAAGAATAAATGTAGTGGAAACCATATATATACACACACCTATATATATATATATATATACACACATATATATATACATGTTACTATGGAGACATATTAATCTGCGGCTGTCAGTCAATTCTGCAGGCGGGAAAACCGCACTCCTATGTCAAATTGCGGTGGGTCTTAAAATGGAAGAGATTTGAATCTTAGTTTTAATGTTAGAAAAATTTTTAAAAGAGACTTATTGTGTTTCTATCACTCCAGTATGACTGTGGACACACTATACACACTATAAATACACACAGATCTGTCCAAACAGCTTACAAAAGTTGATTTTCATTATAGGTGCCCTTTAATCATTAAAAATATTATATAATTTGTCATTTATTTTATTGGTCTTTTATTTTATTATATATTGCAATTAGTACAATTCAGAATAGTTCTTTTTTTTAACAAAAACATACATAACTCATCCAGGTTTTATCATGTATATACTGTAAGTCACTGTTGAAATTTGGTTGAATATTTTAATTTAATTTGATTTAATTGAATTGAATTACGTTGGAAGCTACCTAATTTTTCTTTATAAATGAGCTGAAACAGTGGAATAACACTGTTGAAATAAATAGAAATTAACCCTAAATTCAAATATTAAGCTAAATTGAACATACAAAAGTCATTAAAATGATTTCAATGACAAAGTACGTTTAAAATAAAATCTTTATTCAAAATAGGAACACATATCATAGTCTATAAATAATAACACTGCTTCATAGCCTTCTTACTTGCACTTTTACATATTTATATACAATATGAATATTTTAGGTCAAACTTATAGCTGTAATAAATTGCATGAGTCAATTAAACTACTTCAAGGGTCATTTTTGCCATTTCAAGGCACAAGAGCACAGATTCCCATTTTTTTCTATATGTTCATATCATTACTTTCGCTTTCCGCAAAGGAAAGTGAAAGGTATTTGGAATGGTATGAGGATTTTAAAAAAGAAATGACTGCCACAACTGAGTCATCAAGATATAGTGATGTATCATATGCAGTCACGACAGGTCGACTGTGATCAAGCGTACTGGACACATCAAGGCTTCTGTAGGATTCTCAAGATTGTTAGTACGTGTACTGTTAAGCTGTGATGTCTGCATGGTTCAGACGTATGGCGTATGGTGCAAATGTTTAGATGTCATTCATTAACCATATGTCGTAGACCTATTTTTAGACGTTGCTTCACACACCAGCCTTGTTCAGCAACGCTTAGGTATTTTTATAAGATATTTTATCCTTTGTTCAAGAGCATATTTAGGGACACACCAAAATTATAAAAATTAATGTAAATAACCCATTTATAAAAGCATTCATTTGACAGAACACAATCTGATTATTTACTAAAAAGTCTGTAATCATAGCGTAACATCATTTTGCAGACATTGCAGGCTGCATCTTTATAAATATAATAATGAGTGACTAATTCATACTTATAAATTAGTGTGTAATGTGTTATGAACATGTATATTGAAAAATGAAATGCATCACTAATACTATTATAAGTGTAGCTATACCTGTCATTATAATACAGTATGTTTGCTCTGTCTTTATAGGTGCATTTATAGAATTATTATAAGTAATTATAAACAGAGATATAATTTAATATTAAAATGAGCTTCATAGAAAGTGTTTCAATCAATTTTTTAAATGAATATTGAGATGGATTTGTAAAGTGTTACGTTTTCACATCACTACATGGAAATAAATCATTACAAGCATGAGCTTCATAGAAAGTGTTATTAAAATGATATTATTACTTTTTGTTTTTGAATCATGTTTCTGATCCAACTATCTAAAAATACTTAAATTAACAATCATTTTTAATTAAGAAGCATTTTCTGGACAAGTAATAAATCGTCTTGTTTTCAGGAAAAAAGTCAAAATAAAGTCAGTTTCTTCTTAAAACAACCAACATTATCTTCCAGTAGAGGTTAAATGAAATAATCTAAAGAAAAATTTATACAACATGTTACACAATTATTTGCTTGTCTAGAAAATACTTCTTGATTTAAGTTATATATATATATTATAATATAATAATCTGAATCTTGCTTACCCCACTGACAGATTATGTTTCTTGTTTTAAGGAAAAATGTTCCTACAGATGACTTGTTTTTTTTCTGAAAGAGAGCAACAGGTCAATGTTTACATGCTGAATCGGCATAAGAGGCAACATCTAGCTGTGTTTTTATCAGTTTTATCAGTTTTATGGTTAAGCCATTTATGACCTTAGTTACACACCTTAGTAAATGTGTAAACATTTTTATAAAACAATGTCGACTTTGCATTGAAGACTGTGTGTCAGTGCACTCAGTCAATGTTTTTACATGGACAGCAATATTCTGATATCAACACAATTGAAACAATATTCTAATAGAGTACACAGTAGTCAACATTTGAAGTGGATCATATACTTTTATCAAAGTTGACTTGAACTATTAAACAACACTTTTGAAAAAAAAAGTTTTTGATCCACTTCAGATGTATACTGTATATCATTTTTTTTTATCATCTTCAGAACATAAATTCAGATATTTTAATAAAGAGAGCTCCCTCATCCTCCATAAACAGCAACGGTTCAGAGTCATGCATAGTCCAGAAAAGGTAATTAAAACAGAATAGGAAAATAATAAGGAAATAAAAAACTGTTTATTAAGGTAATATCATTGTTTCCAAGAACAAAAAATCCAAGTTTGCTTGTCTATATTTTTGTTTTCCAAACCTTTTCCTGTAGGCACACCAATAGTATATATTTTGGATGCCTTCCTTATCTGACTTATTCATTACACGTTTTGGAGTCTCTTCTAATGTTTTGATAAGTTGATTCATGTGTGTTTGATTAGGGAGAGGTTGAAAATGTGTACTGTTGGTTTGCCTTTGGGAACAGGATTGTGAAACACTGGTCTATATTTTCTCTTTCCTGACATGTCAGAATATGTGTTTACTATGGGCAATACAACTATTAGAGTCAGCAGCACAACACACAAGGGTCGTAATACCTATAGTAAACACACTGATGCGAAAGACATTGACGAGAGTAATTTTTAACAGTTTTTTCTTCTTTTGTTGAGACAAAAAAGTTCTTGAAAGCTTTAAATGTATGATTACAAGTCACATGGAATGTTTGATATTGTTTTTAGTGCCTTTCTGGACTTTAATAGTCTTGCAATGTTTCTGACTATGGAGGATCAGAGAGCTCTCACATTTCACCTAAAACATCTTCATTTGTCTTCTAAAGATGAATGAAGGGGTCAGGAGATTGGAACTACATATCAGTGAGCAATTAATAACAGGATTATTACTTTTTGGCTGAACTAAGTCCTAAATTCAGCTAAAGTCATACTTGAAGTAAACATTGCATTACGGAAATATAAATTTAATCACACTATTTCCGTTATGTAGGATTTTCCACTGTGTTTTGTAACATAAGAGACATCAAAGAAAAGAGAC